AGTTTTTCTCCTCCGTCTGTCGCGGTTGATTTCCAGAGGCCGGATCTCCGGGAGTGGTTTATTGGTGTGCTCATGATGTGGCGTGTCGTGGGCATTTAAACCCGGCGGAGCCATTCCCCTTCAGTTTAGATCAGAGCTTATGTCCTTCACCTAGTTGGATCGCCTTGGTCACAGACACATGGCCTGTGTCTTTCACCTGTGGAACGCTCCCATCCTGGCAGGTGACCTGCGTCAAGGAAGTCCACGGCCTAGTGGTGTCGTGTTAACGCCACCCACTCACGTAAGTTTAGACCGCCAACTGAAACGGTCTACTGGGTCATGGCAACTTCTATAGTTTTATTGGAGATTGCGGGCCATTGATGCCCGCCCACACGACGGGGCAGCATGCCAAATTTCTCATATTACATTTTATAAAGCTTTAGTATCTAATTACATTTAAAAAGGTAAAATTAAGTAATGTGTCACTTCATTCAGAAAAGCCAAGGGCATTTTTCAACTGACAGATGACCTCTTAGCCGCTACTTGAATATCTACCTGATCGGAGCATCTGCACCTCGGCCGGAAAGAGCAGAATCTCTATCTATAAAAGGCAGTGTGTGTGTGTGTGTGTGTGTGTGTGTGTGTGTGTGTGTGTGTGTGTGTGTAACGAATGCACGGCCACAATTTTCGACGGATTTGCACCAAAATTTACATGCACATGCTCCAAGTTACATTTCCCAACTCCCCTCGATAGTGGGAATAATAGATTTTTTCATGCTTCTACGGCAGTTTTAATGTAGTTTGAGGCTATTTTCTACTGGCCAGAGTAAGAGCCAATAGCTGGCTGCCACGAATAGGCAGGAAGATTCTATTGGCCAGCGTGAGAGCCAACAGCTGACTGACACGAATGTTAACTAGCATGCTAGCATGCAAAAAAAATCGATAGCTGCATTCGTCACAAGTGGGAAAAATTTAAATTTGCATGGCACTTTACTCCAATTGGTTCATTCGCTTGCTTAAACTCAACGTTGCTTCTGACTCCGCAGAACTGGGTTGGATGTGAAAAAGTATTTGTTGTTAACATTCTTTTTTCATTCGGTTTTTCCAGTTACGATTCCTTTTTTAAAGCTGATCGTTTTGTGTTCATTTTGTTTAGTTCTTTTTTCGTAACAGATTTAATGTTTAGTATAGAGCTTAGAAAAAATTCGCAGTGTGAGATAGACAAGAAGTAAGGCATGTAGCAACATCAACACGGCAGTCCTTTAAAGGCAAGGAAGGGCAAAAATATTTTAAGTCAAGTGATAGCGATTGCTGTATGAGTCGTACGATTTTTGAATCAAGCACGGGCAACGCCTGGCCAAACAGCTAGTTGCAGATAAACATACACCCCACCCCTGAGGGAATGGGAAGTGTTTCTCAGACGTCGCAAACGGGAGTATAATATCGATGATTCGGATGAGAAGCCAAAGGGCGTCTCTTGTACACTGACTGATATCTAATAACGAAATCCTCAGTTGAATAGGATGTAGTGTTAAATATGACAGATTATGTCGCGTGTTTTCAGGAGTAACTGAAAGACGACTTTATTTGTTAACAGTTTCTAGTCGGTTGCATTTAAATACAATCAAACTTTCCAAAGCCACCGACATTTCTCATGCATATAATTCCTACTACTAATCTTATATCAGCTGAGCCTAGTATAGCAAAAGAATAAATGAAGGAAATAGGAATATGCACATTTTGCTACAAATCTTTGCCTCGTTAAGCTGTCAGGATTTGCCAATATTCACTGCTATTTTGGTTGATATTACATATATTACGAAATATATGATTATATTAAACTATATGGTACTTTTCAAATAATGCAGAAATATCCTTAATAAAAATCATTTTTAAGAGAAAAGGCATTTTTTCTGGCGATCAAAGCAGAAAGCAGTTTTATAATTGCGAAGACAGTAAGAAATCATTGTATATTTTTGAGACTATTTTATCAAAACTAATTGATTGTTTTTTTTATTCTTTTTATTGGCAAACCAAAATTGAAAAAAGGAAATAACTTATTATATTAGACATTTTGCCGGGTAATTTTTCTTTCTTTCCGTCTTGCTAATTACAGCGATTATCTTTAGTTTAGTAATCACGTTTGTCAGCACAATTAATCCCTCAATAGTAATGTGTTTTTGCTCGACTGATTTATCTTTTACGGCTTCTCAACCCTTTAGATTGTGAAAAAAGGTGATAATAATGATTTCCTGATACAAGTCTGTTGTGGTGTCCTCCCTCTAAAGAGTCTATGCTAGACTTTTCCGCCTACTATAACATTAGTAGGACAGAAAGTTCGGGAAACACTGAACACATTGAGCGCTAGTTCATTCGATACACTCTCACTAGTCGTGTAATACTCTTCTGGTGTATATACTGTTTAATACACGATATATCTGCAAACCTGGATTTTGTTATTACTTAACCATTTACTTAGTCACAACAAAGTCCTTCTAAATAACTTATAACTGGAAAAGAGATGGATTTATACATATCCTAAGGGTAAGTGTAATATAGCTAACCAGACTCTCCGATTTCCAATTCCGTGCCGTTATCTATTATACCAACGACCCACCCAAGCTTACTGTACCTAGTATTTCCAGATTGTCACTCATCTAAGCACTGACCAGTCTTGCTTTTTTCTTACTCTACACTCATAATTTTAAAGTAAACATTAATATGTCTAATATATTGTTTATATTTCCAACATTTTCCTCGTACAGTCTTTATAACTTCAAAATATCCGTTGACTATATTTATATCTATTTTCTTTTTGCAAAACAATCTCATAATAATATTTCCTTTCCAATATCCTAACACATGTAGTACGTGACTCACCACAGATCATGCCAGAATAGATTTTGCACTCAATGTTATACCCGTTCATCATGAGAGCCAGCGGCCCACTTGACCTGATATAACCACCCAACCGCTGAGTGCAGACGTACGTGAACGACCCAGCTCTACCTGAGTTGCAAGCGGAAGAAACAATCATAATACAGTCAGCTATATAAAAACCCACCCCTATCTGACATTGTACACGAGAATGTAAGGTTCACGTTCGGATAAGAGCCCTCTGCTACTCATGCATATTGACCGCAAGTCTTTGAAGTGCGGATTTGAAAACAATATAACGTTACATATGAGAGTCTTCAGTCTTGGGTGGTCAGGAAGAAGAAAATCCCAGGATACAATCTACGAATTGTAAATACGAAAGTCAATAAAATCAAGTATGTATAATTGGCCACACGTATTCGAGGATACCTGTCTACTTGGACGGTTAGGCAATCCCTATTGCAGACGCTTGCTCAGGCGCATTTGTGTTTAAACACAGACAGGGCCCACATGTGATTTATACTGCAACTATGCTGAGCAGCCTTAGTTACAGTTTCTGGCATGTTATCTATCGTGATCAACAATTTGAACAAGGCCAGCACGCTCAAGCCCTCGGCCACGATGACGTGTGACTTCGTGCTAGCCCAGCTATCGACGAAACACAAGGGTTCCGTCTACCCAATTTCACTCACAAGGCTTCGGTCAACCCGTGGTATGGTTTTCAAACACTTTCCAAAGGTGACGCACGCTGGGATCGAACTGTCCAATCTGATAAAATCAGGAAGTCTCCTTCCTGACAAATCGACTATAGTGAGATTCGAACGTTCTAACCACACGGTCACTTGCCCATATTCATTCAAGTAAGACAATTTAATTACTTGGTAAAACTTTCTGAAGAGGATGGAAAATGTGACACCGAAATCTGAAGACGCATTGACATAGAGAAAAAGATTCCTTCCAACAGAATAGCAAGTTATTAAAAAAACAGGGAAAAATCTCATTAAGAACGAAAAACAAAAAACGTTTCTAATATCACATTTCCTATATGGCAACGGAATTTGAACCATCTCCTCATAGATAAAGAGACTTGAGACGACAGAAATGTGATTTCACAGAATCATACTGAGAATACCATGGACTGGACATGTGAGTACCAAGGATGTTTCAAATAAAATAGAATTAAAAAAAAGTTGCTTATATTTAGTAGCAAAAAAGAGTGTTGAAATTTCTACGACACATGGCAAGAAAAGAGGGCGTGGAGAATTTGCTCTTCACAGGACATAATGAAAGGAAGATGTACAGAATGAAAAAGGAGTAACCTTGCTAACGAACTTGCGTGAAATGATAGCAGAACGGAGAAGCGGAGGGTGAAAAGGCAAACCTTACTGAAAACAAAAAAGGCTAAGTCGTTGTGGAGAGTCATGATTCCTCATGGCCTGAGGGACGAGTACATAAAAGAAAAAGAAGCAATTATTTTTAATGTACGAAAATAACATTACACACAGCTCTCTATCATCTGTGTTTCATAAATTTTTTCTTCATTTGGTGTATGGAATTTGTATGAACACTTTTACTGATGCATTGTATCACTGTGCTGATCCGTATTGGGAAAAATAGCTATTTATTCAAAGTGATGATACAGAGGCTGACGGCGATTTAACGCTGGCGTCGCCATTTTGATTTCAATCGCATGCTTCACAACTTAACGACAACAAACGAAGAAGCATCCTCCTGTGTATATGACTCGGAAAGTAGCGCTTTTGGGAAGAAGATGCCAGAGTGAAACTCTCTCCTTATTAATAGGTTATTAAGAGAACGGGGATGATTGCACATGTCACAGCTTGTTCTAGCTGTCAATATCCGAACTGGTAGAATTAAGGAATGTAGATCGTCTATACATTTGCCATGGCAGTAGCGACAGTTTTGGACGTTTTCTCTCTGGAAAACGGGCTGAAGAGTTGAAAATAACAACAACAAGGCTGTGTAAAACGATTTTTTTTTATTCTGTCAAGACTGGAAACTGAGGATTTGGAAGCTCCAGCCAAGATAAGGCAGTAATAATTCATTTCAGATCTCATGTGACTCTTGTAAGGAACTCAGTATTATTTGATTCTATCTCATTCGATCTCTCTCTTTCATTCGAG